CACTTATAGAAATACTTCAATTAAACTCATGTAGCGAAATATTTTAATTAATTCACACTTAGAAATATTTCAAGTAAATTCACTTATAGAAATACTTCAATTAAACTCATGTAGAGAAATAGTTTAATTAATTCACACTTAGAAATATTTCAAGTAAATTCACTTATAGAAATACTTCAATTAAACTCATGTAGAAAAGTATTTTAATTAATTCATGCTTAGAAATATTCCAAGTAAATTCATATTTGCAAAAAACGAGTAAACTCACGTAATTTATGCCAATTGATTCATTTTTGGAAATATTCCAAGTAAACTCATGTCGAGAATATTCGTGTAATGTTGATTTTGTTTATAATAATTATATCAATATAAAATAGAAATTATTTATCATAAATGCATTTAACTATCGGAAATAAAGCAATATTACACTTCAACATTACCGTCACGGTTTTCAAGAAAATTGGTTTTGTTTTATCAGGTGAAGTGGTTGAACCCTGAATAAGACCACAATCCTTTTAAGAAGTATAACATTTACATACGGTAACTCGTTATATCAAAATAATTTACAAGATATAGTGCTATTAGATCCCATCTTTGAGAGAGATGATTTTTTTTTTACACACGTAAAAAATTGAATTGCGAAAAACTCACAACCACATTAGAATTCAATGGTAGTCATCATGTTATTCTTGGTTAACATTTTCACACTTAAACTAATATTAACTTATTTAAATTTTGGAAAATACTAGGCTGACGTGAACTATTAATGTACATTTGAAATTCAGTTCGTTATAATCTGTTACATTATTCATCAGTGTGTTTTAATGCTTAAATTTCAGACCAGAGGTGGAGATGTTGATGATATATTCGTAAAGCATAACCTTTTTTATCTGTACATCAACTCTTCACGAATCATTCGTAGCGTCGTTCAGAAGTTTTAAATAAAAATTAAATAAATGAACATATAAAAATTTTTTTATTAAGAAATGTCAGTCACACTGTTGTAAATCACTCCTTTCCACACGTTTTTTTTTGACAAGTTTTAGTACGGATACATACGTAATTGATGTTACATGCTATAGAATATAGTAGAATCTTCAATTATTTTAATAATAGTAAAAATATCTTTACAATCAAAATATTACTTGCATTTTTTCCTGTAAAAATTCGATATTAATTTTTAAGATTTGAATATATATTATTCGAATAATGGTTAACCCAAGTGTCACACTGGAATCGTTTTCCCTAATCGTCCGAGTCAAATAAAAGTATTTATTTTAAATTATCCCTAAAGTAAACAGATGAAGTGTTTCAATTGCAATCATATGCGCCATCTACAAGCATATTCCTGTTGGCACGCTTCCAAGTTTAATATTAAGATACCGCTAAAGTTGTGGAATTAGGTAGTACGTGTACTACTTAATTATTAATAATTCGAAATTATTTTCGTTTGATACTTTAGACTTTCCTTAGAAGTATTTTAAAGGCTGGTATTAGACATAATGTGATTATTATATTAATTATTTTAAACTACGCAACTA